ATCCAAGTGCCCAAGCCTTGAAAGAATGATGGAGAGTGGTGGAGAGATCCGTGATAACAGGGAAATTAGGGGTAGAGGAAGATGTAGCCGGATGGAACAAAAACCCTAAGGACAAGGCAGTGAAGCAATGGTCTTAAAGTATCACTGAGGACTACAGAGGTATCTAACTGCACCTTGCAGTGATCAAAGTTCTGAGTAAATTAAAGAAAAACCAACATTCAGTTAGAAATGTGTAAAGAGTAAACTCAAGGTCCCAGGGTTAGTGAAAAGATTCCAGCTTCCTTGTAGAGGTTGGCAGCCTGATTTCCTTACGCTTTTTTTTCTATTGTTGTTTGGTTGGTTTTTTGCTTTTTTGGGGGGGCCGCGAGGGTCACACCCAGTGATGCACAGGGGTGAGTCGGTACTTGGGAGACTATATGGAATGACGGGGATTGAACCTGGGTTGACTGCATGCAAGGCAAACACCTTACCCGCAATAGTATCACTCCGGCCCCAATTTGCTTGTGTTTTTGAAGAGTTTCTAGTCGAAATGGCACTAAACTGGAATATCATTGTGCTGGTATTATATCAAAATAACCCCCCAGGGAATGGGAAATCTCCCTGGAAGGAATCACCCATGATCTGTTTTGGCCCCACACAGCTTCAATGGTGTTGAAAGAAGAATCCAGGTTGGAAGGGATTAGAGTGAGCGGGTGGTGAGGTTAGTCAGCTTTGAGAAGTGTGGATGAGAGACCATACCTTAATACCTCCTGCCTTGCCATTCCCAAGTACTTGGAGACATTTGTAGAGCCAGGAGGAAAGGAATTGAAGGAGGAGGAGAGATGACCAATTAGTGAAAAGAGCTTATCCTAGGAACAGAAAATCAGCATCTTAGACTGTCCCCTGAGAATCTCAGCCTCTGGATCAACTGATCAGCTTGCCCCTTCCTACAATGTTTTAATATTTTTTACTTTCTTCTGTTTTCTCAGGGCCGGAGTGATAGCACAGCGGGTAAGGCGTTTGCCTTGCACGCGGCTGACATGGCTGACCTGGATTCGATTCCTCCGCCCCTCTTGGAGAGCCTGGCAAGCTACCAACAGTATCTCGCCCGCCAGGCAAAGCCTGGCAAGCTCCCTGTGACATATTCAATATGCGAAAAACAGTAATAACAAGTCTCACAATTTGTTGTGAGACATTACTGGTGCCCACTCGAGCAAATTGATGAACAACAGGAGGACAGTGCTATAGTGCTGGTTTCTCAGGATGGTGTAGCAGAGTTAGGGAGATCTGAATCTGAGTACTGTTCCTGCCTCTTTTTAGGCATATCTTTAAAGTTTCCTTGAGTCAGATTTATTTATTTATTGGCTCTTTTGGCAGCCACACTTGTTGGTGCTCAGGGCTTACTCCTAGCTCTGCACTCAGGGCTCACTCTTGGCAGGAATCTGGGGACCATATGGGGCCAGTCATGTGCAAGGCAAACACCCTATCTGTTGTACTATCACTCCTCCCTAGCCCCATTTAAAAAATTTTTTTTGCTTTTTGGGTCACACATGACGATGCACAGGGGTTACTCCTGGCTTTGCACTCAGGAATTACTCCTGGAGGTTTCTGGGGGACCATATGGGATGCTGGGAATCGAACCCAAGTTGGCTGCATGCAAGGCAAACGCCCTCCCCGCTGTACTATAACTCCAGCACCCCTAGCTCCATTATAAAAATTTGTTTGTTGATAAGAAGCATATCTTCCTAGGGCTATTTTGAGAGTAGACAATATAGTAGACATTCTTGAAATGTGATTTTATTTTCCTTCCTCCCCTCTTGCCCTGTAGCTTATCTTCTGTTTAGTTTCTATCCTTCACGCATCTCTATCTCATTTTCTGTATACCATCATGATCACCATCATGATCATCCTGTTGTTTGTCGATTGCCTCGAATTGGCACCAGTAACGTTTCCTTTGTCCTAGCCCTGAGATTTTAAAAAGTGCCATATTCAAGGCTCTTTCAGGATTAGGAGAAGGAGACCCATCATTGTTACTGGTATTTGTCATATTGGGTACGCCATGGGGAGTTTGCCAGACTCTGCCGTGTGGGCAGTTTACATTTGGTAGCCTGCCAGGTTGTCCAAAGCAAGAATGAGATAATAAGATGTCGCTTCTGGGAGCAGGGTTTTATAGTCTCTGGGTCTTGGCAGTTGATGTGATTACACTGCGTGAGGGAGGAAGGGGGGGGAGAGGCAGTTGGTGGGTGTGACCCTGCCTACTGGAAGGATCTGGGTGGAGGATGCTGAGCCCCAATCTGAGCAGGCTTGGAGATCTCAGCCCTGGGACCCGCATACCTTTGTTCCTCTGCCAGTACCTTCATGCATGTGGAGAGTGGTCTCAGCATGGTTGTGGCTGGTTCTGGAGGTCTTCGGCTGCTGGAACTCTGCTCGGGGCAGGGAGGGACACTCAATCCGCCCCCCTCCATGGGGCCCCTGGCAAGGACAGCCAGGCGCAGGGGCAGGAGACTGCACTGTTCTCTTCCGGGAGTTGGGTTTTATAGTCTCTGAGTCTTGGCCGTTGATGGGATTATACGGTGCCAGGGGGCAGTTGGTGGGTGTGACCCCTGGCTCTGGAAGATGGAGGATCTGGGTGAGGATGTTCAGCCCCAATCCGAGAAGGCTTGGAGATCTCAGCCCCGGGACCCACATGCCTTCAATGAGTACCATCACATTGAAAAAAAAACTGGGGGGGGGGGGTGAGGTTGAGTGCAGGGAATAGTAGTAGTACATACTTGGGTTTGACTCCCAGCACCACATGTTACTTGGATATCACTGGGTGCAGTCTCTCCAACCCTAGAACCACCAGGTGTGACCCAGGTAATCCTGACATCACAAGAACCATGCAGCACCTCAAACTCAGGCCCTTGCATTGATTCATCAGTCCCCCCACCCTCACCAAATATTATGGGCCAGGGAGACAGCATGAAGGTCTGGAGAGCATGTTTGGTGTGCTGAAGCCCTGAGTTTGATTCTTGGGATTCCATAGAGCACTGCCGGGTGTGGCCACCAAACAAGCAAGAAAATAAAAACATTTCTCAGTGCAAACTGCCAATTTTTGTTTTTCACAGGGAACTTAGTTTGGTTCTTTATATTGTTTTCTCTAGAACTTATTGGAAGATCTAAGTTCATCCTAGGGATTTTGTGCGTTGGAGTCTAAGTGATTTGATAAATGGTAAATTAAATACTATTTTGGTTGTATGTGTGTATGAAAAAGCAAGAGGAGAAGGCATTGGGAAATCTGAGAGAGCCCATGAACTTTTGAAGTCAAAATCTTGAGACTTCTTTTTTTTCTTTTTGGGTCACATCCGGCAATACACAGGGATTACTCCTGGCTCTGCACTCAGGAATTACTCACTGAGTGCGGTGCTCGAGGGAACCATATGGGATGCTGGTAATCAAACCTGGATCAAAGGCACTCCCCACTGTGCTATCGCTCCAGCCCCCTCTTGAGACATTTTTAACATTTTTATATGCCTCCCGAACTTGTGGCACCTGGAGGGAGATTGTGGTAGGTGAACTCCCAGGCTCCCACTTCTACCACATCCTGGCCCCGCCCCACTGTCTCCAAGTGATTATTAGGGCAGTTACAGGTTCTACAATTTTTCAAGTTCCTCATTTCCATGTTGTGATGGGAAAAATATTATTCCCCCCAGGTTGGCTTCTGCTGTTTAGGCTGTGTCCCTTGTTTGAAAATGCCAGGGCTGACCCTCTTCTAAACTGCCCCAACATGTTCTCAGTTGGCAAAAATTTTTGTAAAACTAATGTTGGTGTTTAAATTCTCAATTGTCAGTGGCACTTGAAAATGGCAAAAGACTCTTTAAATATTAAGCATTCTCTTTTTTCCTCAAGCTTCCATATAGTGAAAATCTCATAAAGTGTTCGTTTTTTGTACCTCATAATTACAAGCAACATGTAAAAATTTGGACTCAGATGTGTTTTGCCTTTTTTTCCTCCTTCTTCTTTCTTTATTTCCTATTTTCTTTTGATTTTAAAAAATTGCTTAATGTATGTTGGTCTTCAACTTTTAAACTTTAAGACTTTAAAAGGTTTTTGTTTGTTTGTTTGTCTGTTTGGAGGCCATACCTGGCAGTGCTTAGGGGTAAATTCTGGCCTTTCACTCAGGAATTACTCCCAGTGGGACCCAGAGAACCATATGGGATACTGGGGATTGAATTCCGTGGCCCTGTGCAAGATAAGCACCTACCTGCTGTGCTATCACTCCAGCCCCAACACTTTAAAAAGTTTTAATGAGTTTAAAACGTTCCTTTATTTCCTAACAATATCTAAAGACATACTCCCCAGTCTGGTCTCCTTGTGTTGATATTTGTGTGTGTGTGTGTGTGTGTGTGTGTGTGTGTGTGTGTGTTGATGTTTTTAAGAGGGTTTTCCATCAGAGTTCTTGTAAACCTTAGGATAGCATTTTCAGGTCAATTTTTATTTTATATGCCAAGTTCATTGGTGAGGAAAAAATTAAATCTCTCACATCTCGATCAATAAGTAGTTTTCTAAGGGAAACTTCTAAATTATACTTCAGATTTTTTTTTTCTTTTTGGGTCACACCCGGTGATGCTCAGGGGTTACTCCTGGCTTTGCACTCAGGAATCATCACTCCTGGCGGTGCTCAGGGGACCATATGGGATGCTGGGAATTGAACCCGGGTTGGCCGTATGCAAGACAAATGCCCTACCTGCTGTGCTATTGCTCCAGCCCCTATACTTTAGATTTTTAAGGAATTATATTTCCTTCAGATTCCAAGAAATGAGATGTTGGGGAAAGCCAGCCTCCCTCTGTTTAGGATATGCTCAGTTTACTTGACTTTCCTTGTCCTTTATTCACCCCATCAAATGAAAGAAAAAAATTTTTTCTTCTTGTCTCTGAAGAGATATTTTACTATAGTCTTTCAGAGAACTGTTTTTGATTTAGAGGAGAAGTCAACACATTGTAGTTGAAAACTGCTTAGATAAGGTGTTCATTTCTTTCAGCTTTTCATGTTTCAACTTTTGCGGGGCCTGGCATACATCCACCACCAACACGTTCTTCACAGAGACCTGAAACCTCAGAACTTACTCATCAGTCACCTGGGAGAGCTCAAACTGGCTGATTTTGGTAAGTTGTCCCTTGAGTTTCTTTTTTTGGGTTGTGAACAATAATGCTTTTGTGTGCACATGTTTAAAGCATTGAGTAGACCTGGCTTTTGAAAAGTAGAGGCCACTGGGGAATATAATACATTTTGAGGATATAAACTGCCTTGTAGGAAGTGTGAAGCAAGAAAGAGGGGGAGATCAGTAGCTTCTCAGGATCCTATCAAGCCTGATTCTAACCAGATCCTAAAATATGGGTACCCATACTACCCCACTGTCATTTTTATTTTATTAAATTAAAAAAATTTTTTTGCAGCTCTGGGAACAGAACCCAGGATCTCAACCTATACAAAGAAAGTGCTTACCACTGAGCCATATTCCCATTAGCAATGCCAATTTTAAAGTAGAGAGATTCATAGAGTGTACTGTAAACTGTCCGTGGTCAATTTGCCTAAAGCTGCATGGATATACAAATTTTATAAAAAAGGTATGCACCTAATCATAAGGCAAACCCCAGACTGAACGGTAGACTCTTACAAGAATAGGGACTTAGAATACCTGATCTTGCTTATTAATGTATTGAGACAGATGTGACCCTGGGTAGCTGAGATTTAATTCTCATTGAAGTGATGAAGATCTCCTGAGGATCACTTTATATTTCCATTTTAGCACTTATAATTTCACATATGAACATATGTTTGTATAATGATTTTGTCTACTCTATAATACTGTATGCATTATGAGGATCACGTGTCCCCTTTTGAACAATTTTTTTTTTTGGAACTGTATTCTTACTCTTTTATTTTTTTAAATTTTTAAAAAAGTTTTATTTATTGAATAACCATGAGAACAGTCACAAAGCCTTTCAGTTTAAGTCTCGGTCGGTCATAAAATAATCAAGTACCCATCCCTTCACCAGTGCACATTTTCCACCACCAAGAACCCCAGTATGCCACCCCTCCCAACCCCCTCCCCTTGCCTGAGTGGCATATTTCTACTTTACTCTCTCTCTACGTTGATCATATTCAATATTACGACATAAGACCCAACATTATTTATTTGGAATTTTCCCCAACAATCAGACCTGCCAAAAAGACATCATTAGATAATTTGTTTTCTATTGCTGATTATGAAGAGCATATGATGTCATGTAGCCACCATAGCGGCCTCATGATTTTGGATTTCTGATATTTTACTAATAAGCCTAGAGGGATTACTGCCAAAAGCTCCTGGGTTCTGAGATTGGTTTTTGTGCCTCTGGGATCATGGTCATTCAGGAGCCAGAGGAGGCGTTTTTGGGTGGCAACCCGGGGCCTTGTCAGGGTGGGGAGCGGGGCCGTTTCCACCCCCCGATCCCACAAGATCCCGCATGCCTCGTCAATGCAGTCTCATACCTGGCTGTCCATTAGGCTCTAAAAGATGGAGGCCACCATGCCACTGCTGCAAGGGGGATAGGTGGAGGGACAAACACCCTTCCCCTCAGAGGGCAGCATAGCACCATAGTTAAATGCACAGTCCAGATGCATTTCGGTTGGGCATTATATTTTGCTCAGATTTTCCCACCACCATTCAAACCTGCCTTCCAGGGAAAGACTAGATCATTTACTTTCTATTGCTCACTTTGCATATCAGGAAATGTCCTGGTGCCTGCATACTGGAGCCATGCTTGTAGAAGCTCATGGTCACTGGGACTCCATCTGGAGAAGGCAGGGAGAAGGTCCCTACCCCATCTGGCACCTCCCAGTGATATAGGTTCGGTATAGGGCCCGGAGAATTCTCAGGGAGTTGTGGAGCCCGCCGGCCAGGTTTCTTCGCTGCTTTGTGCTGCAAGATCTTGAACAATTTTTTAATTATTTTTTTAATGAATCACCATGAGATATAGTTACAAAGCTTTCGTGATTAAGTTTCAGTCATATATTTGAACACCCATCCCTCCACCAGTGTACATTTTTCACTACCAGTGTTCCCAATATTCCTCCTTTCACCCCCACCCAACCCAACCCCTGCCTCTATGACAATTTTCTTCTTAATCTCTCTCTACTAGTCCCTTTTTGCTTGTAACTATATCTGTGATGACTTCTACCATAAAAATTAATATTGCTTGAAGTTCTGGTTTTGTGCAAGCTGAGAAAACACTCCTGTCTGGAGGATGACAAGTAGAGATATTATAATTGTAACCCTTTAGTCTGAGATAGCAACTTTTATCTGAGATGGTGGAATTAGAGTATTTAACAGACATCTATTTATCAATTCCCAACAACTGCAAATTATCTGTTGATTTTTTTAAAGTATAGATTATGCATTTTTATAAGAAAAGTAGCTAAGGGGGAAAGCACACTTTTATTTTGCAGAGAAGCATTGAGAATGATTTGTCTAAAGTTCCTCCAGTCTAATTTGAATTAGCAGTTGCCATTCAATAGCTACTGAATGAGAGGTTTCTAGACTGAAGAATAAAGGACAGCTATGTTAGTTGGGATTCAGCTGATGTTACAAAATTCCAAAATTGTAGTGTAAACAAACACACTAGAAATTGAACTTTTTCACACTTAACATTGTAACCTAAAACATTCCAAGTTTATACGATGACCCTATAGTATCCCGTGTGTGTGTGAGAGAGAGAAAGAGACAGAGAGACACACACAGAGAGAGAGAGATATGCTGTTGCTTGAACCCAGAGTCTCACACATTGAACACAAGTGCTTTATTACTGCATCCCCCATAGTGTCTTTGCCACATTCCTCTTATGTGCCCCCACAATATCAAGAGGTTTCCTGTAACTGCATATTTCAAGATTGCTACCACTTCCTCATCTTCTGGAAGACAGAAGAAAAGGAAGAACTCATAGCTCCCCATTTCACATCTCACTGTGTTTATGGTGTGTAGGTAAGAGTGTAGTTACTCAGTGTAGTTACTGCCCTATTTGTGGAGGCTACTTCTAACACAAAATTTGAACAATTCACTTTAGAAAATCACAAGGATCAAAAAAGTTGGATAGCTGTAATAAAAATACCAAATTTGTCTTATTTTAAAAATAGTTAATCTGCCAGTTCTACTCTCCTTGGTGGAACTCTGGATCTCTGTGGCTGTCCAGAAAATCCAGGACAATTTCTCTCTGTGCTTTCCCTCTTTGGTAAGGTCTTGCTCGAGCCAAATCCGTTCCCAGCCAGACATACTCTTCAGAAGTTGTAACCCTCTGGTATCGTCCTCCTGATGCATTGCTAGGAGCCACAGAATATTCCTTTGAACTGGACATGTGGTAAGTGTTAGAACTCCCAATTGAGGAAAATTTAGTGTATCCAGAGTCATTGACTTCCCAATCACCAACTCCATTTCTAGACCTCTTGCCTGCCAGTCAACTGACGTAGCTGTCAGCACTTCTTGTCTCAACAAAGGCCCTCACGGCACCTTGGGCTTTCTTGGCTCCCAAGCATGTCTTCCTCATGCCTCACACACAGAATCAGGATTTTCTCTTTCGCACTCCTAAACTTTGCTTTTTTTTTGCTTTTTTGGGTCATACCCAGTGATGTTCATCAGGGGTTACTCCTGGCTCTGCACTCAGGAATTACTCCTGGCGGTGCTTGGGGGACCATATGCAATGCCGGGAATCAAACAAACCCAGGTCAGTCGCATGCAAGGCAAATGCTCTACCCGCTGTGCTATCGCTCCAGCCCCAAATTTTGCTTTTTTTAATGGAAAATTTACAATAAAAATTTGGTTCTATGTATTTACGCTACTAATTATCAACCAAGATTAGTTTTAATCTCCTTCACCCTCACTTCACTGACTCCTTAGGAGACATTTGGTGATGTTTGAAAAAGTTTTTATTGTCACAACGATATGAGGAGCAGCCCTGGCATGGTGCAGGTAGAGAGGCCAGTGATGCTACTAAATACCTTATAATATACATGGTGAACTCCCACAACAGAGACTTATACAGTCCCAAATGACAGTAGGAGTGCAAAGGAGAATCTTGTTAAAGATGAAGAAGCTTTAAAACCCACAGCCCAGAGTAACACGGACATGTAATGGATGCTGTATATGTTGCCACTCCTAAGCCCATACACAGAAGGGTTTCTCCCCTCTATATAGTTCTTCTCATCCTTCCCTCACCCTTTTAAAATGAACATTGTGACATTTTTGTGTATGTCAGAATAATTTTTCACTTAAGTTGTTTTTTCCTTTTTTACAAAATTATATACACACATATTTATGTATGTATTTTTTTGTTGTTCTGGTTGTGCTGGTCATTGAACCCAGAGCCTCACACATACAAAGCAAGTGCTCTATTTCTGAACCACACCCCTGGTTTCTATGGTGCATTGTTTTCAGTTTTATGTGACTTGCATTTTTTTCACTCAGAAAGTTCTAAGTTTCATCCATGTTGATCTATGTAGCTACACTTGTTTCCTGTTGATGAACATTTGAATTATTTTTACTTTAGTTTTCACTACAAGTTTTACTTGATATTTATAGTTCTATTTTTCTAAGTTCTAATTTAGGAATAGATTGACTATAGTACGCAATAGGATATATGAATGTTCAGTTTTGTGGAAGAGTGACAAATTGTTAACCAAAGTGGGTGTAACAATTTATATGCCAGCAATTTCTCCTATCCTTATCTGTACCAACCTGATAATATTGGATTTATTAATTTTAATTTTTTGGGGTTTTTTGTGTGTGTGCATGTGTGTGTGCGTGCATGCATGTGTGTGTGTGTGTGTGTGTGTGTGTGTGTGTGGTGTTTGGTTCTTGTTTTTTGGCTACACATAGCAGTAGTTAGGGATTATCCCACTTCTGTGTTTCAGGACTCTGTGATGCTGAAGATTGAGCCCTGGGTCCCTGCATAAGAAACATGCTTTCAACTCATGGAGCTATCTCTCCAGACTCAATGTTAGCTTTAAATCTAGTGCATAGAATTGGTATCATGCAGTAATCTAAGTTTGTATTTTCCTAATTTCTTTTTTAAAATGTTTATTTTCCCCTTATACCTTATACTAGCACTGTAGTTTACAAAGTTTTTCATGACTATTTGTTATAGACATTTAATATGCCAACAAAATCCCACCAACATTACACCTTCGTACCACCTTTATCTCCAATTTCCCCACTCACCCCATAAGCCTGTCCCCACAGAAGACCCTCAATAATTTATTTTATATTTCTTGTTACAACTTGCTAAAAGAATGATCAAAAAATTTTTACTCAGAAGAACATTAGTAAAGATTGTATATCTCACCGTGGAGTTATTAAGTCCTTGTATAAGAGATTACTAAGATGTTGTTACAGGTTAAGACTTCTAAATTGATATTTTGTTAATTGAGATTGGATGTCTGCTATATTACATCCCACCCAATCTAGTATCCTACTCCTGGTTTATCAGTGTTGTAGAATTTGAGGTGTCGCTCCAGGAAGTCCAAAATTTTTAACAAGGTGATACAGGTGGAGTTAAATTTTTAACTGGGTGGTGTTTGGGGGCATGTGTGTAACTGCTGAGCTTTCAGAAGTACAGGGTGTTGGGGGGAGCTAGCCAGACTCTGTGAGAGCCTGGAGGTTTCAGTCACAACCTGTATACCTGAGTTTTTCAACAGATTAATTTCTCATGAGGCTCGTTTGAGCAGTGGAGTCTGGTTGGGAGCGTGGTGTCAATTATGGAGTATGGAGGTTTTCAACTGCTGCGGCTCTGTTTGGGCAGGTGCCGGGTTTACCCGCCTCCTCCAGGGTACCCCAGATGACTCAGTCTTGGACGGGGTTTGGAAGAATCTCTGCATCTTGTTGAGCTCTCTTGAGATTTATTTGTTTCTGGATCAAGACTGGTTATTTTCCTAATTTCTAATGAACTTGGATATTCTTTCAAGAATTAATTGCCTTTTGCATTTCTCTTTCAATAAATATCTGTTTGCATATTATTTATTTTATTTTGGTCCCTGTCTCTGCCTCTCTCCCTCTCTCCTTTCTCTCTTTATTGACTTATGAAAGTTCTTATTCTGTGTATTCATCTTCTATTTATGAGTGTTACAACTAGATTCTATGGTGTAAGTTTTTATACCTTTATGCTGTCTTTTAGAATAAAAGTTCTTAATTTTAAGGTTTACAACCTTATCAATCAAATAAATCTTTTCATCTTATGTTCATCTTATGGTTAGTTCTTTTTTTTTTTTTTAGAAAAATCCTTCTTTCCTTGAGGTCAGAATGGTATTTTCCCACCACACCCTTTTAAGAGTTTTAAAGTTTTTTGCCATTTCTTTTAAATCCTTAATATATTGGAGATTGACTTTTGTATGAGCCAACCAGTTGTCCCACCCCAGTTTCTTCAGAGGTCTACCATGATAAATCTCTTATATATCAAGTTTCCATAAATGCATAGTCTCCTTCTGGGCTCTGCATTCTCTTCCTTTGTGGTCAATTTATCTGTCTGTACATCAGTGTCCCACTTTATTAATTTTATAGCTTTGTAATAATACTTGACATCTGGTAGGATGAGTCTCCCATTTATTTCATCTTCAAGAGTTTCTTGGGCATTTTTTCTCTTTGATTTTTTATATGAACTTTAGATTCAGTGTTTTAGTTTTATGAAAGTTTCTAGTGGGATTTTCACTAGACTTGCACTGAATCTATAGAGCATGTTGAGGCTAGTTAACACTTTTATAATATTATCTTCCCATTGTGCAATATGGTATAATATTTCTCTATCAATTTAGTTCTTTTTAATATCCTTTAGTGAAAGTGTAACTCTTTCTCTAAGATCTCACATATCTAGAGCAAAGACTGCCATAAAGTCTGCGTCTGTTGTTTATTTTTGTTCTTGCACGTGGCACTTTTTCCTATGTATATTGAGTTGTTTGTGACAGTGATATGCTAATTTTCTTTGGAATTTAATTTTTGGAGCATTTTTGAGCCCTAAATGGGATGAGGTCTCTTGGAAAGGATTTATATTTGATTCTATGTCCATATATTAAAAAATAAATTCAGGGCCAGAATGATAGTACAATGGGTAAGGCACTTGCCTTACATGTTGCCAACCTGGATTCACCCCTGGCATCCCACCTGGTCCCCTGAGTACCACCAGGAGTGATCCCTGAGCACAGAGTCAGAAGTAAGCCCTGATCATAGCTGGGTGTGGCCGTAAAATAAAATAAATTAATTGTTTTGTTTGGGTGCCACATTGGGTGGTGCTCTGGGGCTACTCCTGGCTCTGTGCTTGGGGATCCATGTGGTACTGGAACTGAAACCAGGAATCTGCACAATAAGGATGTGCTCAGGCCTTTGAACTAACTCTCTAGCACCTCGTTATTGTATTTTACGTAAAGGTTGGTCTGCTATTTAGATCTTGATTTCTTAATCCCATTTCCTGCTAATGGAAGTAGAATTTTGGAGGAGCAGGAGTGGATGACAAGTTCTACAGTTGGCGGGTTGGGGGCAGCGAAGATGTGAAGGGCCTGGTACATCCTTGTTGGACCAGAGCAATATTTTGTCAAAGTATTGAAAAATAATGGTATTATGTCTGAAGGACATGGGAAACAGTAGTTAAGTTTGAAAGATTTTTTTTTAACTTTTTGGGTCACATATGATGATGCTCAGGGGTTACTCCTGGTTTTGCACTAAGGAATTATTCCTGGTGGTACTTGGGGGACCATATGGGATTCTGGGGATTGAAGCTGGATTAGGGCTATGTGCAAGGTGAGTGCCCTACCTGCTGTATCATTGCTCCAGCCAACTTTGGAAACTAACTTCCTTCCTTCCTTCCTTCCTTCCTTCCTTCCTTCCTTCCTTCCTTCCTTCCTTTTAAAATCTTTTTGGTAAAGGATGATAGCTGTATCTTGACTACTCAGATATGGTAAATTATGGGGAGGTAAATATGTGGGGGAACTTTTAATTGTAGCCATAGGTCAGTTAGCAAGATTTATGTCGATTTCCAGAGGCTACTTGTTGTGACAGGGCACTTCTCCCTCTCTGCTATGGGAAGGGTGAATGCCTTGCTTTGGCAGATAGATGATGCCTTGCTTTGGCAGATGGAGAGGTCAAGGGTTCATCCTGTGTTTGTTGCTGTTGTCTTCAGCTCAAAGTAACCCTTATGCCAAAGTAGCATATTTGAGGGGTGACATATGAGTCAAAGTTTTAAAAGGTACAGGAATACTAAAGAGCAGTAATGGATTAAAGAAAACCAAAGAGACACGCCAACTAAATATACTGTAATGTGTGGTCCTAAATTGGATTTTGGGAAGAATAGGTGAGACAGTAGGTGAGACAATAGGTGAT